GAATTTAATCGAATTTCGCTCGTTGATTTTGGTTGCTTCGAGTGGTATATTTCTCTCTCTCGATTTCTGCGCGGTAAAGACGGCACTTCCTTTCGCCGTGTTGGTGGGGTAAACGCATAAACTCATTGACGTAAGATTTAAGTACGAGTAATTATTCGCGTATTGCAAACCGATGGCGTAATTCTCCCTACATAAGTCGTGCTTGTCCGTGTAGCGACTTTTATGCGGCCGAACAGAGCTAATTCCATACTTGAGGCTATAAAAGTTCGAAGGCAGAGCGGTTGAAAACTCACTCTTACCCCGAGTAGCAATTCTTAGAGCCACGCGAAGGTAAAGCACGAGACTGGTGAAGATGTCTACAGCCGCCGTTGCAACCAGCTTACCACCACCCGGTCAGCCCGATATCCAATATGCACCCAGCTTTGAAAAGTGGCAAGCTCGCGCGTCATCTCGAGTGAAGAATGAGAACTTGGCTAAAACTCTCCCCGATGGTTTTCCAACTGAGTTGAAAGGCAATCTAGTCTGGGATGGCGTCTCCGTAGCCGAATCGTATGATTGGGTATACAGGCTATCGACTGACGAGCTCAAGGAAATCGACACTGCTGTGGCTCACTTCAAAAGTAAGTTAGGAACAGCTAGGGAAGCAACAAAAGCGATCGTAAAACCTATCTTTTCTAACGAAAATAGCACTGGGCAAGCCACTAGCCGAAATCTCTGTAGAGACCTTCCCACTTCCCAACCTGCATGCAAAGCTACGTGGGCTCTCTGACGAGCTGCACTCTGGACATGGCTTCTTTGTCATTCGTGGCGTTGAGGTGGAAAAGCATACACGCGAAGAGAATGTCATGATCTACACCGGCCTGTCCACACATATCGCCGCTCAACGTGGTCGTCAGGACCAGTGGTTTGATGGCAAGCCTGCCGACGTGGTTCTTACCCACGTTAAAGATCTTAGCCGATCAAACATCTCAAAGAGCATTGGAAGCCCTGCGTATACGACGGACAAGCAGGTGTTTCACACGGATTCTGGTGCTATTGTAGCACTCTTTGCATTGGAGTCAGCAGTTGAAGGAGGAGCAAGTAAACTGGCGAGCACATGGCGGGTATATAATGAAATCGCCCGTACGCGCCCGGATCTAATCCACACTCTGTCGCAAGACTGGGATGTCGAAGTGTAAGTCTCTTATCTGAAACCTATGTCTATGCGATTTACAGTTTCTAATGAGTTTATGAAAGCTTTGACAACCCCAACAAGAAGTATACAACCAGGCCATTGCTCTACTATCAAAAGGCGACAGACTCGACCCCGGAGCGAGTCATCCTGCAGTATGCACGCCGATATTTTGTTGGATATGGAGCATTACAACGTAGCAGCGATATTCCCCCTATTACTGAAGCACAAGCGGAGGCTCTGGACACACTGCACTTTCTTGGTGATAAGTTCTCGATCTCGACCGATTTTCAAAAGGGCGACATCCAATACATCAACAACACCGCCATCTTTCATGCCAGAGATGCCTTCGTTGACTCTGATGATAAGCAGTAAGTACCGTTTCTTCTAATCGTTGCCCGAAAGATTAGCTGTCGAGATTGTTGCTAATGTAAGTCATTGGTTGATTAGGAGACATCTCGTCAGATTCTGGCTCCGTGATCCAGAGAATGCATGGGAAACACCGGCACAACTTCAGACGCGCTGGGCTGAGCTTTATGATGGAGTGACCTCTGAGAAGCAGGTTTTCCCTCTGGAACCTTATATCCGAACTGCCGGTCACCAAAGAAAATAAGTTACAAAAGAGCTTTCATGTCAGGAGATTGCTTTCGCATTTTGAAGAGCAGGAAGAATGAGCGTGCTATTTCGATGGAACAATATAACCCTTACGTACAGCCACTGGGGCTGAATTGCATGCTAACCATTGACCTGAATTGCAAGATACGGAGGAGTTTTCCCAGCGACTCCCTTGCCGCAAAATTGAAAAGGTTCCCTTCGACGGTGGTCCAAGTCAGCCACTTAAGAGTCCTCAGAATTCTGAGACCCTCCTACAAGCTATAGTAAATGTGCAGGACCAAATTTGGTAGTTTAAGCCACTGATCCTCCTCTTCTTGGGCAAGATTAATATCTCTTGAAACTCTCTGGCGATCATCAGCTCCAACGATTGCGTTCATGCATTAAGTCGTTCATCTGTGTGAAGCGGAAGGTTGGCTATCTTCTCGTGTGTTTGCTCTTTTATAGGTTTCCTAGCCAACGATCTCGCAGCTTGATAGGAATGAAGCCCTCAGTATACTGACCTATCAGGATCTAGTTCTCACATAACAAAGGTTCTTTGAATGAAATTTCTATGTTGGGATGCGATCCCTGCTAGAAACGTGGAGATAAGGTACATTAGTGACGTGTATGCTTCTTTGACCTCCCTCTTTTGGTGTGGGGAGTTCATCATCATCCTTGGCTAGCCGTCATACCGACTCTTGGCCTCGAATTGTCATCAACAGTCTGGGCGTACAGTGAGATCCGCCCCCTCACCACGTTTTCTCTCTCGCTTCTCTCAGGCTCACGCACGTTTACGACTCCAAGGAAGCCATTGTCGCCGTCATGTATAGAATCGTTCGACTAGTATCGCGCCTCCCTGCGTTGCTCTCTCTATTTATCTTAGCTGGGGGAGTCTCCGCCGCACAAACCATTCCCACTGCCAAGATCGTCAGCAGCAAATCTCATATCCTCCCAGGGCCTCTGCGCGTTACCGAATTGACCTTTCGCGTGCCGTTGGACTATGACGATCCGGAGGGCGAGACCATTACTCTCTTCGGCCGCTCAGTCACCAGCCACAGCGTCCCTATCGTGGCGTCTGATGATGGAGATCAAGAAGCGCTCCCCTATATGGTCTATTTGGAGGGTGGCCCGGGATTCGGAGCTCCGGAACCACAGAATGCTCCATTGACGAGCACCGCTCTCGAGCGCGGGTATCAAGTCCTCTACCTCGACCACCGAGGTACTGGTCATAGCACCCCAGTGTCCACCAGAATGTTGGACAGGCTGAGCGGTGGCGAGGATGCCAAGGTCAAGTACCTTCGTCTCATGCGCCAGGACAACACTGTTCGTGATTGTGAGGCTGTCCGTAAGGCCTTGACGAAAGGCTTGTCGGAAAATGAGGCCAAATGGTCCATCTTCGGGCAGTCTTATGGTGGATTCGTCAGCATTAGCTACCTCTCTCTCCATCCGGAGGGTCTACGGGAAGTCTTTTTAACCGGTGGTCTGGCACCGGTTGGGAAATCAGCGCAGCAAGTATACGAATCTCTTTACCCGCGAGTCATGAAGCGCAACGAGGCCTACTACAAGAAATTTCCCGAAGACATCCAGAATGTCCGCCAGATCGCAAGCCATATTCAGCAGCAGGGCGGCAGTGTTGCTCTACCGGCCGGTGGAAGCCTGACGGTACCCCGCCTAATGACCATTGGCATCGACTTTGGGGGCTCTGGTGGCTTCGATTCTGTACACTCAACGATTATGAATCTGAAGATTTCCCTGGACCAGTTCGGCTTCCTTTCTCGGGCGTCTCTCACCCCCATGGAGACGTTTACTACTTTCGACGACAATATCATCTACGCTATTCTTCACGAGGCCATCTACTGTGATGGACCCAACGACGTGTCGAACTGGGCTTCCGATCGGGTTGCTAGACAACTCAATCTCTTCTCGTGGCTTTCCTCTAATGCCTCCATCTCATCCAATTCCAGCGAGCCACTGTTATTCTCTGGGGAGAACATCTTCCCCTTCTTCTTTGATACTTATCCGGAGCTGATTCCACTCAAGGCAGTCGCTAATAAACTTGCGGCTGTGGATGACTGGACTCGTATATATGACCAGGAGCAGCTTGCGAAGAATGAGGTCCCTGTGTACGCAGCTACGTATATCAACGACCTTTACGTCGACTATGAATATGCTAAAAATACTGCAAACCTCATCAAGGGCGTAAAGACATGGGAGACCAATGCAGTCATCCATTCAGGCCTGAGAACAAATACACAGGAAGTCCTAGCGGCGCTATTTAACCTTCGGGATAATGTTTTCGATTGAGTAGGGAGGAAGCAATGAAACCTGACACCCCTTACGCAGACAGGTGTAGTCGCCTGTTTCAGCTAGGATAAAATAATTCATCTATTTCCCATCTTGAGTTAACGAGCGGCCCGTCCTAGTGGCGGGGTCTCCGGCGTGAAGGTTTTCTTTAGCTTCTGTGGCTTACAAAGATCTCATTACTCGGGCGTTCACGTAGCCTAAAGAAACTTACTCGTGGGTTTTCCCCATTGCTTCGGGCGTTCCAAGCTTTTTGGCTTTTCGTATTCACTGTATTAAGGTGTTGACGTATGGGTAAGAGAGTTCAGGTACGAAGTAGAGGATAGCAATACGGTGTCAGTGTAGGTTATCATCATGTTTTAAATAGCACATCGTAGGCCAATTCCTTCTTTATCATATGATACCTAGTAGAGGCCTCAGCTCGTCCGTTTGCGTCTTCTGATCTTTGCATGTCCAAGTCCTCGCGTATCTCCCGCAAGAAAACCTCCCACCGAAAACCTCTCCCATCAGCAATGGCTCTTCCATCAAGTATACAGCCCACAGCAGTAGCCAATGCCACTGAAACTATCACGGCTGATGCCGCTCACACAGTCACAAAAATGGTCACAGCAACGGTAAATCAATCTCGACGCCATAACTCAACTTCCAGTATTAACTTTCCTATAGATATATGTGCGAGATTACGCTCACGAATTTGTTGACGTTAGATGGGTTACGGCCGCCGGAACCTGGATTTGTGCTATCGGAATCTGGGCAAGTTGTCTTTTAGTATTCTGTGTGTATCGGGAGATGATAAACATGGATCGTACCGCCAGGAGGATTTATGGACTGAACTGAGTGTCATTCAACCCCATGTTAGAAAGGACACACGTACTCCAGCGCTAAAAGGGATCAGGAATTCCTAGATTATAGCTCTTCGATAGAGGCTATTTGTTTAGAACAATGTGATATCGACGGGCTCTGGAGTCCCTCCTAGCCGATATGTTCGCTTGTCAGCTCCTAGACTGATGGTCATGTCTTCTTTGGTTATCCCAACTCGTGCAGCTAGCCGAAACATGCCGACTCTTTCCATGCACCGACTTTTACCTAGTCGTGCATTCTCACTGACAATAAGCCCTACTACAGACATGATGGAGCCTTCTTTTGTAAGACCAGCATAGAGCGGCAATACAAAGATATCCCCTGTCGCCATTGGTATGACCCTAAAGAACGTAGTTTCTCCCTCTTTCGAGCTCAATTTGTGCCCAAAAAGGTTGTACTCATGTCCTTCATCGAAGCCGCGGAATTCCACATTAGCCGAGTGCGAGCCTTGTGGCATTGCACTGGCGTCGATGTCTGGGAACGCCTCCGCCAAGCATGGGTTCATGTCCATCTCCAAAAGGTAAATGGGTTCCTGTGTCTCGCTGAGCATGTACCTTCCGTACTTTGTGACCACCAATACTGCTCCGCCGTTTTCTGCTTCGGAGGTAGTGCATAAAAGTCTCGCCTTGACAAGTGACCCTTTTAAGAGGATACTTCCGTCAATACGGAGCTGATCCTGAGCCTCGTTGGTCCGTCTCTCCGTCGAAATATCTACGACTTGAGCCAGCGGCATAGTCTCTCGGAGCGGTACTTTGGCGCTCTCTAGATCTATGTTCAGCATCATCTTCATTTCCGTCTCCCAAGCGATGGTCCCGCGCATGGACATCCACGACCAAGAGGGCGTTTGGACCTCAGGTAAGCGGCACCGCCCTCTATCGCGACTATTCCATCCAAGATAGAAGAGAATTCGTGATTTCCACAGGCCAGCGTGGAATGTATCCCCCGTTTGAAGCTCGATCGTCTTGACGGCACCAGACAGCGCGATAAGCTTGTCCGATGGGAAAGTAAAGTCGCAAGACTGATACTTGTTCACCATACTGCTCCATATACGCACTTGTCTTGTTGAACTTTGCTCATGTTGACTTGAGATGCCCCGGCCTCTCGCCATCCCGCTGTTAAAGAAGCTGAGATTCTCTAATCTGTTTGAGAGACCGACTCCGCCGCAGGGGAATCCTTCACAAGCACGGTTGAAGCGGCATTCAAAGAAGATTTGGTGGTGCGAGAAGTAAAGAACACGTTTCGGCAGCAAGCGCTCTTGCAACGCCCAACCTCTCTTGAAGAGCGGGGAGCAGTCTTCGAGGTGCTCCCCCCAGTAGTTGCTGCCATGCATCAGGTATGCTCTATTAGGCTGCCGCAGGATCAGCGGGGAGATGCCATTCGTTTGCCGTTGGCGGAACAGTCCGCCCTGCGAGTCTGAAGACGCGGCAGCCGCAACGGCCAACTTGCAGTTGGAGTAGATCTCGGCCATTTCCAGCGATTGCAGCGTCCAGTCGCTCTTGGAATCTTGTAGGATGCACAATGCGTCGATCCATAGCCAGCGAATGCCGAGACTCCTGGCCACCGTGACAAGATCTCGATGAGTTTTTGTCAAAGCCGAGACGGGCATTCCCTTGGTGAAGCTGTCCTGGGTGCTGGCTGTCAGACGTAACTGGGTTGAAGCTCCCCAGCAGTAGCTCAGCGCAATGTACTCTACCGGTGTCATAGATGTACCGCGGGTTATCACTAATTTCCACGTATCGGAGTTGCCGTGTCTAATATCTATGAGGCGCGCGGGCAAGTTGGATTCGCAAGGCCCCCGTTTGCGACAAATCTCATGGAAAGTGCAACATGTCTGTATCCATTCACTGGCAAGACCCAGAACTGCACCATCCGAAGTATTCGTCGTGCGTGGAATATATTCAGGCTCTAGCATCTTAAATTGAATAGGCTCTGGGGGGAAAGGTCAGATTGAGAAATTTAGAAGACTCCCGAGAGCAAACGATCAGCTTACTGAGCAGTTCAAAACAGACAAAGGTGTTGCCTTTGCTCTTGGTCAAGCAAGAAATGCCAGCTGAGCATTCGAGGGACAGAGCTATGATCGATCCCGGACCCATCAGATATTTTCTGATTTTATACGGATGGAGGCAGCTCGACTGTTCGTAATTCCTTTGTGCAACGCAGCAAAAAAAGCAGCCTTGCTTCACGGCGGCTGAAAAGCTTTCCGCACTTGAGCCATGCAAGTCGTCCAAAATCGCGGGGCTTTCAACGACATCTTGGATAAATGCTCGATTGATGATATATTATCACCCACCATTCTCTGACAGTGACGACAAAGGAAACCATTCACGTACGCTACATCAAGCTCCAATCGAGGATCCGTGTCTGAAGCACAGCGCCGGACAAGATCCGCATAGCGCTCACTACGTGGCAGTGAGGGCCTTTCTTCCCAGCCCCAGGGGAGAGTCTCTAGTGGTAGATGGTTCATGTCCGGCTGGTATGTGGTATCAACTGCAGTAATCGCTGTCGAGCATCGATTGAAGAAGAGGAGTCTTCGCGTGACGGGCGCTTGCCTCCTCAACCAGACACAAGTTGTCCACCCTAGCTGGCGCGTGCTAGAATAGCTCATCCATGAAGGAAGCACACCTCTGGAACGCGGTGGATCAAACGGCCTGGTCTGGATGGGATGCCATTTGTGATCTGAGTGAGCATCTTCTTCGACTGCTGCGTCAGACATTTGCTTCGTGCGCAACGACGCGTGAGATCTTCTCAAAGTCTGTTGTAACGACTAAATGGAGAAGGATATGATAACGCGGGAGAAAAAGAAACAACAGTTGGACGACCAATCATTGAAGGACTTAGGCGCTGAGTTGTGGGTGTGGCGCAGGTGCTTTTTCAGCTGGCACTGCCCCCGTGGTGAGCCTGTTTCGGGCGTTCAGGCAAGATTCATCACTACGAGGTAGATTCTAATACTTGATGTCAATGGATAGTGATGTTCGAGGGATAATATTTCATTTGGAAATTGACAACCTTGCAGCAATGGAACAAATCAAGAATGTGTCTGATGTGAAGAAAGAGACGAAACCCCAGTATTACACGGTATGCTTATTTGGGAGAGGTCTGAAATTCGTTTACTCGATTGACAAGATAGTTCGGATGCGAGACTAGAAGTTCCTTAAATGGCCAGTCTTCTAAATCCACAAGCATAGGAAGCTCAAGCAGTGGGTTGAGCCAGAGCCACCTTCATAAGCATTCCGTCGACCGGTTTAGATGTAATCTGAATGGTCTAGGTTGAGATAAGCGGTAGTCAGCGTTGCTGCACTCGCGACTTTCCTGTCTGAAGTTGGTAGTTGGGAGAAACTCACCGGATATAGCTCCGACTTGACCTTGTATTGGCCATTATCACCAACCTCCGGCCGACCTCTTGGATCTAGGTCCAATTCGCCCAAGCCAACTTTGATGAAAGAGTACCTGTTGGCTAACATGGCGATGGCTATCCGCGCCTCGATGTTAGCGAGCTCCTGGCCGATGCAATTCCTTGGACCCCTCTCAAACGGTCTCCAAGCACTCTGCGGGAATGCACCCAGCGCGGCCGTAAAGACCGACTCCTCGGAAGTAGGCGAGCCTCCGGTGTGTATCTGACCGCCTTGGGCCAGCCAACGCTCCGGCCAGAAGTCGTCGGCCGTATCTCCGAACACGGCGCGGTCGCGGTGGATTAGGGAGTGGTTCAAGTAGATCCAGGCGCCGTTAAGACAGTAGTCGTCGCGGGACGTGGTGACGATACACGTACTTTCAGACTTGGGCATGGTCATTCGGACTGTACCAGCTGGCGGGTGCAATCTAAGGCACTCTCGTATGACGGCCGAGATGTAAGTCATTTGGTGGATGATGTGCTCCCCGCCGGGAGACAGGAGCTTGGCGCGGACGACGGCTGGGTCGTGTGAGTCGGGACCAAGCAGCGCCATGACTTCGGCCTGTACGGCCTTGAGAGCTCGGGGGGTGCGAGATAGCTCGTATACCGCCCAGTCAATAAGGATACTCGTGGTATCATGACCTGCAAAGAGAAAGGTTTTGAGTTGGTCACACGTCTCATCAAGAACAGCTGGCGAGAGGTGATCGATATCTTGTAAACTCAGCGCCAGGATCGTCCGAGATGATTGACTGTTAGGGGAGCCAGACTTCAGCTCGGCAAATTTGGCACAGACGATATCCTGAAGTCTCTCGGTAATGAAGTTCCCCAGGCGACGGCGAGTCATATACACAAAGGGTTTGAACCACCATGGTAGATGAAAGTTATCATTGGCATGCGCTTTATGTTGAAAGTTAGCCTAAGCTAGTGGAGAGGAGACGGTTGACTGGCTAGATACTTACTCTGAATGAGCTCGTTGAAGATACGAATGAACTCTCCTTGTCGAGAAGAGTCTGGTTCCTGTGCCTCTAGATCGACATCCATAGCAACGGCACCGATGATGTCAAAGGTCAAGCCCGTAGTTAGGTCAGTCAACCTAAATGTGTCGTCTGCTTCAGCATGCTGATCCAATCGCTTCATGAATATCATGCTCTTATCAATGATACACGGAAGAAGCGTCATTAGGTGGTTTGGAGAGAAGCCTGGGTTGAATCTTCTGCGGATTACCTTCCAGCTCTCGTTCTGCGGATGACTTGTCAGCGCTTTAAGTACACAGCGCAAGATGGGAATCGTTCAAATTGTTATGTCCATACGATCCTGGATAGATGAATTATACCTGATGATTGAGCATTGACAAGGGGCCGATCAGAGCGCCGACGCTTGGATTTGGGGGCGATTTAGGTACACTATATTGGAAGTCCTTGGATGGTCTCGAGATTTGCTCGGCAACTGCATGGTCTGCGACGACTGCCATGGGATAGCTGATGGGCCGCAAGTCGATCAAGAAGACGGGAGGGGATCCAAGATCCTTGTGCATCTCAGTAATGATTGCATCTTTTGTCGGTTATTAGTAAGAGGTCGGTGTTGGAGCGGGAGTGTATCACCTGGATGACGGTCTCGAGCTCCATGCTTGGTATATTTTTCAAAGAGCTGAAGATGGCCCCAGAGAAGCGATGTCGGCAACTGAGGGAGATGGGCGAATTGTTTGTGCCTCTTCTCAACAAGCTTTGTGTATAAGAATATCAATATTGTGAATAGCGATGCTGCGACTAACGCTTGTAATGGAAGGCCTATGAGGGAATACATGATGCTGTACTACATCCGAAAACATAGACTGCTTTGTGCTGTCTTGTAGAGGTCAGAAATTGCTCAGAGGTAGGACATGTGTATAGAGTAAGTAGAATATGGAGGATAAGACGGACCGCTCACAAGGACATATGGAGCAAAGCAGCACCAAAGAAATTGACCTGTGAGCCAGAAGTACTAATCCTCAAGACAAACCCGTTAAAGGCATCTAGTCCGAAGGCTTGCATCAGGTAGGGAGGCTTCGGGTTATCTGGATGGCACGGCATAACGCATCAGCCATGCATGTCTTGCAACCTTTGTTTTGCAATATTGGAAAACAGTGGGCCAATTCAATTCTCGTTCCATGATGGACGGCAAGCAATTGCAGGGTTCCTCGTCGATAAATGCCAGATTGGTCTTTGTTCTCGTTGCTTTGTGTGCGGGGAGAGTTGGGTCGGCTGACGTGTTTTTCTTGGCCCGAGTACATCTATCCAACTTCATTGCGGTCCGAGCTGCTCTGCTGGTTAGAAGTGAAGGGCTCACTTTACTATAATATGGTGACCTTCTTAATCTAGCATTTGAGGGTGTGCAAAGTTGGGGAGGGTTGATGTCACGGTCTCGTGCATAAGGATGGTTCCATAAGCCAACCCAAAAACCAAAGTACAATTAACCGTCACAGC